GTTGACATGTTCAATGCTTATTTTACCTGCTGTTTGCACCTGTTCTGACAGACCCCAGAACCAACACCAGTGAAACACCTCCAAGCAGTAAAAAAAACCATCAAGCAAGAGACAGCACGAAGACCTGGGAACTCTCCACACAGGTCAGAGGTAAAGTTGTGAAGAATAAAAATCTTTGTGGTTGGGTTAAAAAATAAGCCAAAACAGTGAACATTTCACGAAGCTCCAATAAAGCTGTTATCAGAAAATAGAAGGATGATGCCATCACAGCAAACCTGCCAAGAGAGGGTCATTTGCCAAAACTCAGTAACTGGGTAAGGAGCACATGAATCAGAGAAACATCCAGGAGGCCAAAGACAATTCTGATGGAGCTGGGCAGCTCTTCTGCAGAGACAAGAGGATTTATCCACAGGAGAACAAGAAGCTGCACAGAGATGGGCTTCATGGAAGAGTGGACAGGAAAAGGCCGTTTCTTAAAGGGGAATAAAAGCTGGACTGTTTGACATTTCTTCCTCAAACATGTGGAAGATAGTGCTGTGGTTAGATGAGAGCAAACTAAATTTTAGGCCATCGAAGACAACACCATGTCTGAGTATGAGAAACACATTCATGAGATGAACTTGTTAAAGTCTTTCAAAGATTTGAGACAAACACAGTGACCCTAAACACACTGCTTGGTTTAGGAACAAAGAATTAAATGTCCTGAAACGGTCAGTTAAAGCTCAAATCTCAATTCAGCTGAGAATCTTGTTGATCTAAAAATGCTTGTGCACAAGCAGCACCTATGAAACCTGAAGGAGCAACAAGAGCTTCCATAAGGATAGTACATAACTTTAGGTCTACCTAAAGGCTCTCTGTATATTTTGAATTATTTACTTTTTGTAAAACGATTCAGGATATTTTGGGGTTAAAGTACATTGTAATGTTTTTTTACTGTGATTTATGTAACTTTCCTGTTKTAGTTGTATTTACTCAGCACCTTGTGGATCAACAATTAAGACCCCCCATTTTTTTTGCCAACAGTAGCAAATATTTTACATTTTTATGAAGTATTATATGACATGTCTACATTTCTTGGGTTTTTAAGAGTATGTATTTATTATTACATCATGATTCAACAAATAAAGCCATAATGTGACAAGAGCAGATTAAACCCCTGTCAAAGCTACCTAAAGATAATAGGAGAGTTGCAGCAGTTATTTTCTATTGAATTAGGGCAAATTATGTAATTTTATTGGAGCAGGGTGGGGTGGGGGGTGGTTATTGACTGGATCAAATTATTGTAACCCCCTAACCCCCACCCCCTAAAATAATAATGCCCCTGGTTAAATAGACCAAGATCAGGCAGATAATCTAGCAGAAAGTTAAGGCTGTGCTGCCTGTAAAAGTTGTCTCTACAGAAGATGTTCTAACATGCAACAGTCTTGTGCAAAAGTTGTAGAATTGTTCAAAACAACCCCATCC